CATGGCCCTCCTCTGCCTGCTTCTCGCTCTACCCCTCCCCTCTCCTCCTCTTTCCTCCCCCCTTTTCATTTTGTCTTAACTTTTATTTACAGGAACATGCTGCTTTGTGTTACAATTCATGTTTTTTTCCTCCTCCATTTTTTATTTAAATTAGAAACAAGATTGTTTTACATGTCAATCCCAGTTCCCTCTCCCTTCCCTCCTCCCCTGCCCCCCACTAACACCCTACCTATCCCATACCAGTTCTGCTCCCCAGGGAAAGTGAGGTCTTCCATGGGGGGGGGTGTCTTCAGAGTCTGTCATAGCCTTTGGGATAGGGCCTAGGCCCTCCCCCGTGTGTCTAGGCTGAGGGAGTATCCCTCTATGTGGAATGGGCTCCCAAAGTCCATTCCTATGCTAGGGATAAGTACTGATCTACTATAAGAAGCCCCATAAATTTCTGAGGTCTCCTAACTGACACCCATTCATGGGGTCTGGATCAGTCCCACACTGACTTCCCAGTGACCAGTGGGGGGGCCAAGAGCTCCCACTCGTTCAGGCCTGCTATTTCTGCGGGTTTCACCAGCCTGGTCTTGCTGCACCAGCAGTGTCTTATCTGGTCTCCCAGCTGCTAGCCTCTGACTTCCTCAGGGCATCTCCTCCACCTTTGGCAGCTGGACACTGTGTTACACACTGTAGGCAGTCAGTGCGGCATGAGGGGCCCCTCACCCCGGGGTGACATTGAGACCGGCATGTGAGAGATACGGAAGGTGTTTTACAGCGTGCCTTATCTTCAGCCACTGTCTGGACCACACCCATCCTCCATGTTCCGGAGCAGCCAGCCTTCCTAATTCTGCAGCCCACTGTGCACGCCTGCCTATGACCCTGGAGTTTACTTCATGCTACTTTTCGCGGCTTGTTTCCCTAGCAAGACATCTTGAAGGTTTATCCATTCTCTAGCTCTTCCCGACCTTCCTCTCTCTTCTAAACCATTACTGGTTTGTTTCTTCTCCTGCATTCTGTGGTACTTCGTAGATGTGGTGTTTGGGACGTTATGTTGTATCTGTTACACTTCTGGCTCTTGAACTGGACTTGGATTTCTTGAGTTACAACATGAGGCATTTTGATATGAGGGCTTGTGCCTAGTCTTATTGTAACGTGTTAGGCTGTGTTCAGTTATATGGCTGGGAAGCCTGCTCTTTACTGAAGGGAAACAGAGAAGGGCTGCATCTGGGGGAGAAGGAAGGTGGGGAGGTGCTGGGGGGAGGGGTAGGAGGGGGATCGTGGTCAGGATGTGATATATGAGAGAAAAAGAAATGAATTTGAAAAACTGGGGCATTAGCCTGAGAAGACATCTGGCTTGGGGAGTTAAGCAATGTAAGTATGATGATCCGAGTTTGAATTTCCAAAACCCACATGAAACTGGGAGCAGTAGCAGGCATCTGTGGTCCCAGAGCTCCCATAGTGACATGAGGGACAGAGACAAGAGAATCTCTAGAACCTTTGGGGGCAGCTAGGTTGGCTTACATGGTGGCAAACAACAAAACCAGAAACGCTGTCTCAAAATCAAGGTAGAAGGTGAGGACTGACACCTGAGGTTGCCCTTTGACCCCTACAATGTGCAATATGCCTATGCACACGTATCCATGTAAGATTAATTAAAGGTAAGTGAGGCTGCAAACGAGCCACTAATTGTATGTCTCTCATGTCTGCCACACAGGAGGTCTTCCATACATTTTAGTTGCATCCGTTTGATTCCGAGGCTGTCTCCACAGGCAGCCCTGGATGAGCACAGACGAGCAGAATTCTCCAGAAAGGGATATAGGCAGCTCGTTGCTTGGAGCTCCAACAGTAACAGGCCCCTGTTTCCCAGTGTAGTCTTACAGGTAGAGCATTGACCAACTGAAGACTTGTAGGACATGGGATTTTGATGGGGAGAGTTGTTTTACGAGTGATTCTTTTTAATCTTCAGATGAGGAAACCAGTTTAGTTTCTATCAGATCATGCATGTAGCTTTTGCCACCAGTACCAGTCCAGCCAGCAACCTTTACAAATTTGTGCATGTTAAATCATTTTACATTCTAGGCGAGAACAAGATACACAGTTGATGTTAGTCTAGAAGAGCTTCACTAAGGAGTGCTGATGACTCTGGGTGTCTGATGAGAAATTCCAATGAAGTGTTTTGTGTGTATGGGTTCTGTTTGATAACTTCAGAAGACACAGGTCATGGGTCTGTTTCTAAGGTTTAATTGGGCCTTTTATTTCCTGTAGGTTTCAAAACCTGCTGTGGTCCAGAAAGATGTTTGTGGACAGCATGAAGATCTACAACCACAGCTATATCTACATGCCTGCTTTCTCTATGAAGACAGGAACCGAGCCCTCTCTCCGTGTATATTACACACTGAAAGATGTGGGTGCCAATCAAACAGTGCTTTTTGCTAACCCCAACTTTCTGCGGAGCATTGGAAAGTTCTGGAAGAGTAGGGGGATCCATGCCAAGCGCCTGTCTACAGGACTCTTTCTGGTGAGCGCAGCCTTGGGCCTTTGTGAGGAGGTGGCTATCTACGGCTTCTGGCCCTTCTCTGTGAATATGCACGAGGAGCCCATTAGTCACCACTACTATGACAATGTCTTGCCCTACTCAGGATTCCATGCAATGCCTGAGGAATTTCTCCAACTCTGGTACCTTCATAAAATTGGTGCACTGAGGATGCAGCTAGGTCCATGTGAGGAGCCATCACTCCAGCCCACTTCCTAGGGACCATAAAAGAAGAAAGAACTGGGTGGGATATTTTTGCTAGGTTTTCTATGTGACTTCCAAAAGGAACGGCCAAAGTGTGTCATGGATTGGCATGATAGGAGACAAACAGAAACCCAAGCAAAACTTTGCTTCTGATGTTGGCTTGGAGAACAATAAGAAATGAAATGTTCTGGGGGAAACATTTTTTATAGCATGTTGTGGATTTGCAACTGGAACAGCACCAAGGCGATAATGCTGGCAGATCACTTGTCTGGGGTTCATATCTGGAAAATGCAACTCAAGGAGCAGATGAACTCTAATTGCTGAGGCTGAGGGGCTCATCGTGGAAGCATGTGGGAGATGCTGGGGTATTGCTGACTGTCAGTGTGCACCAGCATCACCGTCATTTTAAAAGACCTGTCTTACTGAGGCTGTCGTTAGAACTGTAGGTTTTTAAAAATTACTATTTCTTTTTGCCCTGTTTAGGGCTGTGGATGGGTGATATGGTAGACTTACAAAATGCTTCCTGCTGATTTTTGTGAGTCGTTAAAAACAAGTCTATGTTGACTAGAGTCCCCTCCACTAGTACAGTTTTAACTAAGAATTTGCTTCTTGCCTCTTTGGTTAGGTCTACTTAGAATGAATCTCTGTTGAATTTAGACTGTGTTGATTCACAGTCTACATAACGTGAGATACTTCCTCTCCTCAGATGTTGAGAGAGAAACTCAATTTTAGGTCCCCATCACATCAACCCATTGGCTCTGTTGCTATTATTTTCACAAAATCACTATGCACACTATTTACTTGTAGCGTGACAAAAGTGTCTTCATTTAATGATAGGTGAAGTAGCTCCCAGAGAGTAAGAACTGGTCTCTGAGGCAGACAGACCAGAAGGCAGGGCTGCCCTTTTCTCTTTAACATGAATATTTCCTATCAAGGTACGTGTGTGTGTGTGTGTGTGTGTGTGTGTGTGTGTGTGTGTGTACATGTGAATATTTCCTTTCAAGACAATATGTGTATGTACACATGAATATAGACACATATACTCTGACACACTATACAAAGTCATCAAACATTATTCTCATGGAGCTGTCAGAACTGAGTGTGTGTGACCTGGTGTCTGTAACCAGTGTTGGAGAGCTACAGGGATACATCAGGGAATCCATTCCATGTTGACGTAAGTAGAGCTGGCATAGCAGTTGCTCTGTTTGCAAGCCAGCATGGAGTGCAAGGTTTACCCTCAAATACATAACGAATGAGAGCTGCTCTCATATTCATCCTGCCCCCACCCAAATCTCATGAATAGGCCTTGTGCTGAGCATGGTGACAAGAGACATGGCTCATGCAAGTGAGCAGGTAGGAACCACTAGCTGTGTATTTCCTTAGTGTCAGTTAGGGATGCTTGGGTGGCTTGATAGAGCAGCTTTGTCACAGCCGGGGAACTCTACTCGAAGGCCAAATGTGTTCATGGTAGATAAGGGGACACACAGAGACATGTTGCCTGGTCTTTGTGCTTTGAGATGTGTTGGGCTCCAATGAGATGAGAAGACTCGTGTTTATTGTCTCAAGTGTTGTAATGGTGTAGGTAAAGTTGACCCACAAGCTCTACTTCACCTTGAAGGTAGAAAGTACCTTGATCATGTCTATGAAAATAGGCCTTTAAAAAGAGGCTAAATTACAAGATATTGAAGTTATTGAAGAGTTGCACATTTGAGGGTAAGGAATTTCCAAATGTGATCAAATATCCAGGTTACTCTAGAAATTAGTTGTGCTGATGTTTATAGAATGAAGAGAATGAAGCTCACCACTGTGCTGGGCTGGCTTTGTGTTTCCACCTTGTGTGGCAGGCAGGCGGCACAGGATATCAGGAAGACAGAGTGAGCGGTGTTAGTCACGTCTGTGCAACCCTGAATTTAATCCCTGTTTTGAGCAACTGGCATTTAATAATTACCTAAGAAAGAATGTATTTTTACCAATAGACTTTACTAAAAGTGTAACAGGCCTAAGAAATCAACACACACAAAGATTAATTAAATGTGAGTTCAGATGAATGCATTAATTGGTCAACGTATAAATGAGAAACTCATAAAATTCACACATCACAGTACACTGAGAATGCTGTCTGGGAGTTTGAACTCTTGATAAACGGTCAACACTGCCAGACCTTCAATGATTGCCTTTCCCTCTCAGGCGCCACGAGCCAACACCTGAGAACATGTTTTCATTGTTATGACCAAGAATCCTAGCTGCTTGTAGTGGGGACCCACCATGGATGACGGTCCAGCAGCACCAGGTGGGCCACTTGCCACAGAGAATGACCCAGAGAAATGCTAGTAGTGTAAAAATTGAGAAACCCCAAGTCAGAACAAAAGAGAAGTGTGGCTGCTCATGCTATCAGCCCTTTGACACAGGTATATCGTTCTGGCCCGAACAGCATCGCTGCAATCTTTCGTTATTTAATGGAGACAATTCATAGGTGTGCCATACATGTAACTTTTTGTATTTGGTTAGATGATTGTAGCTAAGCAAGAGGTAGGTGTGTGTGTGTGTGTGTGTGTGTGTGTGTGTGTGTGTGTGTTTAACATTATTTTTAGTAAAATATGTGTTTCTATGTAGAAACCTCTCCAGAATTGCCCTGTAGAACATTCTGGAGTATTCTATTACCCTTAAGAGGTTGGGTTATATTTGGTTCTACTTAACTGAAATTAAGGCCTTCAGCTCTAGGCCTGGTCCATTATTTAATGTACTTGACCTTTAACTTTCAGACAGAAGGGATTTGGGTTATGATGGACACATTCAATAGAATGCATTAAATTAATTTCAGTGTGTCTGGCAACAGATGACAGCCCTCTCTGCCACCAATTAGAGCAATGCTTCAAGTGTGTGTGTGTGTGTGTGTCGTGCATGTGAGTATGCGTGTGAGGAGAGAGAGAGAGAGAGAGAGAGAGAGAGGAGAGAGGGAGGGAGAGGGAGAGGGAGACAGACAGATGTTCAGGCTGTGCCCTTTGTGCTTCTTTGCTGGGAAGCCAGTCATCTATAGTTTTAATTTCCATGTTTGAAAAATATCAACTTTGTGGAATTCTTTTGCTGGAAAATCCTTGTAGGGAGGGATATAATGAGAAAACCAGTCACCAGCGCATCAAGGGCTCTTCACCTTATGCTCTCCAGTACCTAAGCTTGCATTTGTTAATCTGGGGGCCCATGGCAGAGTCTGGTCGCTTTGACCCTGTTGCAGCCCTGCGTATGATCATGAGGAGTAGAGTTCTATTCTCTGTGTCCTCGGATAAACCTTTGGAGACCCGGAAGCTAGGGAGATAGCAAATATCCCATAGTTCCTGTGCTGTGTCTTTGAAACATTGAGTCTATAAACTAAAAGTGAAGCCACAGGATTTAGTCTCAGCCTTATACAATTCCTGTTTTATAAGTGGGAGAGTCTTAAATGTATAGACAGCACACACACACACACACACACACACACACACACACACACACACACACACACATATGAATAGTATCTGCCTTATTCTCAGCCTTAATGTGCCATTTAACATTGTCACATATGTCCCAGAGAGGAGTGATTGACACGTGTGAATGAATGGAAAGGTTGTTCGTACTTCCTAACCTTTCTCGTAGCAACAAGGAAGGGACATGCTTCTGATTCCTTGTTTGGGTTTTCTCTCTGTTGCTGACATTTGTAGTTTTTTCTTCCTTTAACACAGAGGAACAAACATATTGAAGTGAATTACAGTATTGTGAACACTTGAGTAACAGCCAAAGCCCTTGACATCACTTGTTAAGGCACAAAAGAAGAATTATATTTTATGGTTGCTCATCTGCCTATGACTGTCAGTCTCACTTCTATGTTAAAAGCCTTCCTGGTTTTGCTTTTCAGTTGAAGGTGTTGGGATTCAACACAAAGTTGTCCAAGAGTTTTATGGTGTAATATCCAAATATAGGGATCGAGTTTCGTCTTGCTTCTGTGTAATGAGAATCCCTCCAGGTAGCTGTCACTTCCAAATGTATGATTTATGCAATAATAGTAAACACCAAAACAGAAAACTGGATTCATGGAATTCTGGATTTCTCTTTACAGTAATAGAAAGAAAAAAATGCAATAGAGAAAAAGATGTAACCAAAATGAAAACTAAGTGATTCTTCCCCCACTGCAAAGGATCTATTGAGAAGGGGCTCCGCCTCAGAAGGCAGATCAGCAGACAGGAAGGGATGGATCGTCGTCTTAGAATGCCGTTGCAAGAATGGAATGGCTTCAAGGTATTGGAGAGGAAATGTGTTTTCGTGTCATCATTGGGGTTAGGATGAACAGATGTTAGATGGGCCATGAGCATGGACCGTGAGGAAGGTGTGAAGCTGGTACCTGTTTTTTCACGTGGATCTTGGGAGTCTGCCCACTCCAGACGGTGCTCTCCTGGGTGCCTGAGTCTGGTGAAGCAAACACCTACATATCCCTCTGTCACCTGCCTTTTGATTCATACTCTCAAGGTGAGTTATAATTTATCTCTCCTGTCAAGATGAGGCAGCAGTAGCGGCAAATACCACCCTGATGTTGACCGGTGGACGTGGCCTCACACATTCACAAGAGTTACTGTCAGTTTCCTGTCTCCACAGTGATTCCCAAGACAGAGGATGGCAACCTAGATTCATTATCCTTCATGTTTTAGTTCAA